ATCTAAAGAAAAAAATATCTGGATATAATGGGTCACAGGAATTTTTCTGTGTGCTAGTTCACATCTCTACAGAATCTGGGAAATAAATTTCCGAAGAATCAGCCAAAATCCCAACCATTCGAATATGCTTGTTCACAGGCTGCAGCCGAAACTCTCTCTTCCATCATATCTTGACAGTAGTTCCATTTCAGACACATTCATGAGGCGGCAGCAATCCTTTTAGGTCTTGGTGACCTAATTTGTTTTCCACACATTAACAGTTTCCTAGATGGGCAACTAGATATAATAAAGGACATAGCAGCTTCATCATTATCAGATGTGTATTCACCATTCTTTGCCTACTTACTCGAAATGTTCAGCTTATGCCAAGTTTCACATACATATTAGTTCAAGACTTGCAGGAGCTGAGTCTTTCAAGCTTTGAAGACCAAGGCAGGGTACAGCCATAAAATCATAATACCCAAATGATCTAAGGCCCAAACATCTACAAGGTAGAGCCCTAAACCAGTATTTGTCACTGTGTATCTCTGGGTCATTACTGACTGAAAGCATACTTGCATACTTAAAGGCAATGGGGTAATTGTTTGGATTACTCAGAGGACTACGCTGCAACGTTGACCCGATTGTGTACCTTACATAACTCATAGTCTTGCTAACCCACAAACTAAAAGGTCACGACATTATTTCAAAGTTACTAGAACATTCAGTTTTTATTCCCCACCCCCACCCCCCCACCCCCCCATCCTTCATGATGCAACCATAGCAAGGCAATTTTGGCTACTCCTCTGTTCTTTATAAATCTGAAAATATGCCCCTCTTTACATATTATCTGCAGCTAACAGACGAAGCCCTTGTTACTTGTACACTTTCAAAACAAAATTGTTTTATATGATTTCTTACACAGAAATCTCAGTATTGTAGATTAACCTCAGCCTTAGCAATGAGGTCTTTACGTTAAAGTAGGACATCATGGGCTTATTCAGTTATTATATTCCATCAGGTTTGTTTGGACCAAAAAATTAAAGCAGGAATGACAGATATGTTTAAGCTGTATTTTTGAGTATTTTATACTATTCTTTTTAATAGTGAGTTGTTTATTATAATAATTAAACCTGTGTATAAACTTAAGGTATGTATACAATAAATCATTAGTTTAGAATTCTGGTAGAAATTAGACATAGACATACGTAGACTTTTTCTTAAGAGTCTCCATATTATAATACTTGCATAATTCAACCATTCAAAGAAAATGAAAAAGAGAATTGTGATAAACACCTTTATTCATACACATTTGTAGAAAATTCAGGGTGGTAGCTGCAAGCTTACAAATTAAACAGCAGAAACCTGCAAAGACCAGGAGGTCAAATTTCTTGTTAACTGTCCTTTCAGTAAAAGCTGCCACTGACTTTCTGACATCTTCAGAGTTGTCAAAAGACATTATCACAAAGCAAGCCCAGCCCTTGCAACACGTTCTGTCTATAAAGAATCAGAGGGGGAGTTTTGTGCCTATGGCTGGAAAATGAGGCACACAGTGATTGCACACATTTATCTTAGTCAAAGCTGTGATGAGATAAATAAAAGGGTTTTCCGTACACATGGAAATCTGTAATCCATAATATTCCTTGCAGATTGAACATAAATAAAATTCTTTCCTGGGTTTGCAAACCTCAGTAACGGTATTTTATAATTTTAGAAAACATACACACATACCAGAACGTTTGAACAGCAAATAGCCACATAAACAGATAGGCAGTAAAATACAAAAAAAGCACGGGTAGATTTCCATGTAGGTGGTGTTGCTGATTTTATATCAGAAAAAAAGCAAATCCATAAAGTCATTGTATGTCTTGCACATATGCTGCTATATATGCATAGCAGATACATAAAAATGCAATGTTAGCGCATATATTCACCGATGATATTTTCAAATTTATAAAAAGATCTTCTGTATACATACACCAAGAGTATCCTGCACAGTGCCTATACTCACATGGACACTGGGTAGATACAAATTGATGTCCCTTACACAAGCCCCTGGTGATAGAGGCAATACAGGTTTCACTGTGCAGGTTTCATGGCAATGGCACGCTTCCAAGAACTGTGCCTCATCCCACTGCTTTCTGCACTCTTCAGCATTCCCTGAGCACTGTCTCCTCATTTGCTTCTGGATGGCCTCAGCTCAAGCCCTGGGAGACCTTTGGGCCTACATCTGCTGCTGTGCTGATGAGACATGAAATCCAACCAGGTCAAAAAGAGCACAAAGGTCCTTACTGTTCTGCTGGATAAAGCCTCTCTCTTTAAAACCTTAAAGAGAACAGGCTCTATGCTACATATGTAGACCTGAATGCAAAAGAGCTTAGCAGTCACCATCTGAGCTCTAAAGACATAAAATATGTAAAAAGCAGCTTGAAAAAAAGAAGTTAAATATGAAAACTACTACTAAAAGGCACATGAAATATTGACAATGAATATTTAATCACTTTTTTGATTTAAAAGCACCCAAACAAAACTTAGTATTTAGTAGCTCAGGAGACAAAAATTAAAAGTTTGACTGGTTTGTCCTAGCAGATATAAGTCACTTCAAAATGCTTCAAAACTGATTTGGGGCCAATATGAACCACAGCAAATATGGATATTCCTCAGAAGAAACTGAAAAAAAAAAAAAAGTGAGGTTTTGTGTAGCAGAAGAAATGTTGATAAATCCAAACCATTTTTTTTAAATAAATATCCAAAATATTTTATATGTGTAGATTAAAATTAAAAAACTTTCTCTAATTTTTGACATTTCTAGGAGCAATAATAAACTGAGCCAGCCATTCCTTAATATCAGAAGGATTATTAGGTACACTGATAGTCTCTTTCGCACAAGAATTAAGAAGCTTGCTTAAGGTTACACAGTCAGACACAACCATTATCTGTAACCAAGTCTTCACAATCAGTCTACTGCTTTAATTACTAGTTTGACCTTTCCAGATGTGACAAATCATGGTCTTCCCTGCTGCTGAATTATTTTTTAATTTGATAAAACTGAATTAACAGTGTGTGCTTTTCATGGATGTCATATATGGACACTGATTTGATACAGATGCTCTCAATATTCTTTCTTCCCCTTGTATTTCATCTGTATGAATCACTGCCTGGGTAGGCACCATCTGTCCTTTGTCCTCTGTTGCCAGAACGGGCCACTTCAGAGGGAAAAAATCACTTCCTAGACTCCTCGTTATTCAGAATAGTTTGGGTTTATTACAATTTTTTATACACGAGGCTTTTTACAGAACCACTTTAGTTCTTCTGGCCCTTTTTTGAACAACTTGCCAGTGTGCTGATGCATGGAAATTACAGACCCGAGACCTCCATACAAGTATTTCTCTTGTATTCTCACAATCTTTCAAAAAGTAGCAACATCTAATTGTACCTTCTGGATAGCATCCTGTCTGAAGAAGCTCATTTGCCCAGTGACCCGTGACTGCCAGTTTCCACTGGCAGCCAATGTTTAGTTGTTTCTCATACTATAAGCATGAATCTTTATTAGAAAGCAAGGCACATTGCTCTGTAATATGGATCTTTTCTTAGAATTTACTATTCCACCTACTTCTGTCCTTTGCAAATTCTAACTGATGCTTTTCTCCATACTCTTGCTGAGAACAACAGATTTAGCCACGTATTTTTGTACTTTACCCCTTTGGTAATTCTTCTGCCCACAAAGAATGCAAGCAAGGAGATCTGTAGAGCAGAAAAAAAAACAAAAACAAAACAACAGAGAAAAGATAAACTACTCAACAGAGACTACCAAGGACTTTTAAAAAGATGAGTGCAGAGGCTGTTAATCAGAAAATCAAGTGTGTCCAACCACATTAATATATATATTCTCACACGGCTAGAGCCTAGCAGAGATTTTAAATTGTTAAAGAGGGTGGCTATTCTCAAGAGTTGCGCGGGATGGAAATAGAAGAGAGCAGTCAAATCCAAGCTAAAGGGAAGAACAAATTCAGCTGTGAATTCTTTCTAGCAGAGACCTTTGTTCCATCCCACCAGGTCTCAAAGCGTGGTTTGCAGAGACTCTTCTGCAGCAATGGAGGAGACTGGCTGGCTCAAGCGGATGCTGCCTCTTCATCCGGCTGGACACCTCCCGATCTGTAGCCACTCTTCCTTCAAAACCTGAAGTAATTGGGCCATCAACTGTTTATCTAATTTACTAGCTACCCCAGTTTTAAGACGCTATTTGCTCCTACCACCTACTTCCGTAAGGAAACGACACTTACTCCGCCGCAGACTAGTACACACCCAAGGGCCAGCAATACCTTACCCCCGTTACGTACCCATGCACACCGGGCTGTAGTGCCCCTGGCACCTTTCCAGGGCTGAAGAGCTCTGCCCTAGTCTCCTCGGCACCCACTGCATTTTCAGGGCTCCCCATGAGGAAAAGCCCTAGAGAGTTACCTCAGATGCCCCAAGCCCTGCCACAGAGGGGCAGCCCTACCTAAAGCCCGTACACTCACCCCGCTCCCCCTTGCCCGGAGCAGCGAGGCCGCCGGTAACAGATCCCAGCGCCAGCGGTCGGCGCAAGCGAGGCGGGGGAATGCAGCATAGCGCGCTCACACCTGCCGGGGTAAGGGGAAGGAACCGAGGCTCCTCGTGGCGGCGCGCGCGCTGTCGCCGTGTGGCGGTCGCGGCTCCGGCCCCTCCGGAGGCGGCGGGCGGGCCGGCCAGTGACGTGAGGGCTGCGCTGAGTAAACAGCCCGGCGGCAGCCCGGCAACCGGGCAGCGCCGCTCCCCCCGAGGGCCGGGTTGGCCTGGGCTCCCCGCCCGGTGTCGGGAAACGGACGGGGAGGAAAGGTTGGAGCCCCTTCGCTCAGCGGCCCCGGAAGGCAGTCGCCGCAGCCCGGCGTGGCTGGTGGGGGACGGTGGCAGTAGGGAGCAACCGAGGCTGGTCCTGAGGCGGGAGAAGCCGCCTCGGGCAGCGTTTCGCGTAGGGCCGGTGCCAGCGGAGCCCGATCAGCGGCGGCGGCCGGGCGGTGAAGATGGCGACCCCGGGGATGGGCTGGCAGCAACCACAGCACGGCTACAGCGGCGGCTCCGCGCCCGGCGCGGGAAAACTCGGCTCGGGCTCCGCGCAGCCGAGTCCGGGCGCTGAGCACAGCCCGGACCTGCATTTCAAAATGAGCAAGAAGATTGCCCAGCTCACCAAGGTGAGCTCCCGCCTCCAGGGAGGCGCGCCGGGTCCTGTGCCCCCTGAGCTTCTCCCTCTTATGCTCTGTTTCCCTTTGCTTCTCGCCGTCACCCGTGTGCCTGACGAGGCCGGCTCTCCTCGGGGGGGGGTGGGGGGGTGGGGGGGTGGTGTTTAAACCCGGGTGGGCTGCGGCAGGGATGTACCCGAAGGCCAGGCCCGCGGCTGCCGCCTTGCCCTGGCAGCGGCCCCGGGCCCAAAGATGAAGAGCGCCGAACCGGGGCCCTGCGGTGAGAGCTCCGGCCTGGCGCTGCGTGGGGGCAGCGGCCGCGCGGACAGGCCGGGCGCTGAAACCGCCGCAGTGCCGGTCCTCGGCTGGTTGTGTCCGAATCCGGCTGGCATGGCCGGGTACCGGGTTGTGCGGGAGGCGATCCCTGGCGCGCTTGCGGTTTATTCCATGAAAACTGTGGCTTCTCTTCTAATCCTTTAATGAGCAGTTCTCCGAGAACGGAGAAATAACGGATAAATAGAGAAATTCAAGTGATGCTTGCTGTCCTTTTGCTGAGGATAAATACCCTTATTTAAGGTATCTAGCAATATTTTAAAGCCTTAGGTGGTGAGAGCGAAGTGTTAAAATCTCTCTGATCTGTGCTTCTCACTGAACAGTTTTTCATTCTGTCATCCCCAGTATAAAAAAAAATACCTTGCATCTTTGTTAAAAGTTGGGATCAAACTACAAGGTGTTTTGAAAGCACAGTGTTAAGGCTGGTAGGCCCCATGTTTCAAATGTAGTCGTAGCTACGATTTACTTGGAATAGCTTAAAAAAATGCGTTGATGCTCTAATCTCTCTTTTGTGATGCTCAACCTGAATGTGAATAGCATTGTTTAGGAAATGAAAGACAGGCTTTCTTTGTTAAAGAGAAAGCAGAAGAAGTAATTTCTGTCAAGAATTACATGGTTAAAACATTTAAAGGTAATTTAAAAGCACTGTGGGAACTGCTGGTATTGTTCAAATATATGCAAAATGGATGAAAGTGACATTTCGTTGGAACAACTAAGAGTGAAGGCTGCTGGCAGTCTCGCAGTGGAGAAAGTTCATATTTATGCACAGTTGATGAACTGTTGACCAGTTAAAAGTAGTATTTATTGTGGCACACCTTGCACCTTAATATATTGGAAAGCTGATGACTGAGGGGTATTTTGTCTTTGAGTTCAGAGTCTAATTTCTTTATATATTAACATCAGTGGAACAAAAGTTGTAATTTCATAAGAAGACAAGTAGAATTAAGATAAGATGAAGATTCTCTTCGTCTTTACTTCATGTCCACACAAGTGATTAATTAAAATATTGAAGATATTACTATAGACTTGTGCTTCCTGAAAGGTGCAAAAACCTCCTGGAGACCATAAATGTATCTTAGACTTACCTTAAGGCCTAGTGCATATGCAAAGTAATACTTTCAAAGAATATTTTTTATTTCTGTGTGTCCTTTGATATATTTCCTTTCCTTTCTCTAGGAACTTACTGAGCAGTTTATAGATGATTTCAGAAACAGAGTTCCGCTTCACAACAGAAGTCATTTGTGTACGCCCATGAGTTCCACATCACTTGGGCATGTGCCCTGTGCTCTTTCAGTTATTATGTGTCTAGTATCTTGAGGTGGATGAGAGTTAAATATGGATTTGGATGTGTGCTGTTGGACTATTTTGAACTTCTGTATTGGAAAACATGAAGAGAGTAAAAGTAAATACTGTTTTGTTTGGGGGTTTAATTTTTTTTTTATGGTGCATAGTAGAGTTCTAAAATTGTAGAAATTATGTTCATGTCTGTTCTGCCAAAGACTTCAGAGTGGTGCAAGTAAAAGCTATGAATTGTCTTCTGCTTATGTGTTTAAAATAACTGTAAACTATGTGTTTGTATGAAGAATTTGTATGTGAATTAGGATTTTGCAGGATTGGAATATTGTATTTGTTTCCCAATGACTTGCAGATTCTGGTAAAGTTTTAGGGAGAAAACTTGGAAAATCAGCTGATCTTTGTACTGACTGATAGTCTGGAGCAAAGAATAGTATTTTTGGATGTGATACAGGGTGTGTAATAAAAATGCTTGTACCTATTGCAAGAATAAAATTAAGGGAAATAAAAAATATTCTATGACATTAATTTAATAGAGGTAGAAGTGCAAATTTTGACAAGTTTGTAGTTAGAGGGCTCAGGACCTACATTTCTGTTTACTTGACCTTTCAGAAAGGAAGGCTTAAAAGAAGTAGAGAAACTTCTGGGTAAAGTATAATCAAAACTTTCTAACCTGCCCTAGAATCTGAATCCTGATTTGATAATAGCTGCAGAAGTTAATCCTTGAGAAAGGATTCAAGCTACAGGGGGAAAATAGAAAAACAATGTTTAGTTTCTGTAAGTGAGAGTTAACTTTCAGAGAAGAATTAACTTCACTTTGCAGAAGATTTCTGGAAATAAGACCATGTGAAAAAAAATGTTAGGGTATTTGTGCTGTTCTAGCTTTGCCAAATGCTTGCTAACTTAGGTCTATAGTGTTTCACTTCAGTAATCTAGGAACTTCTTATCAAGAATGACACTTCTTAATCGTGCTTCTCAAATTGTTTAGTGTCTTATACATGACACGTCTCACACACCTTCAGTTGTTTTCCCTAATATTTTTTTTCGTCTTCCAAGTCTTCCCTGTGACGGTCTTGAGGATATATTCAGTTTCTCAGTGGATTCAGAGTTCAAGTCAGGTGCTTTACCAGGTCAAAGCAAAACCACCAATATAGTATAGGAAAAGGAAATTGAAATATGCACTGCCAAAGGGATGTACATAGTTAAATTGCCCAGACAGCTTCAGTCTCTGACAAAAAAATTGTGACTCAATAGTTTATTTTTGCTCACCCTTGTATAGTTTGTATTACAAGCTGTGAGTAGCAGCAGCAGAAAATGCTTTCCCCACAGAAGATGCTGGTCACTCCTGAAGTAAATAAGAAAATTCACAATTAGGATTTCTCTGTTTTTCTAATGCTTTCACATTACTTAGAATCTGATGTTTCAGTGAAAACAATACAGGAACTCAAAGAAAAAGGTGAAATTTGTTCCATAGCCAGATTTAATCAGTGATTCAGAGGGAGGCAAAATAAGAAACAAATCCATTTCACTAAGCACAGCATTTCTGAGGTGCTTGACTATGCTGTAACTTCTGACAAGGAGGGGAAGACTTACTTGATTTAACTTTAATATGCTTGATTCACAGGGGAAGGTAAAACAAGTAGTTAGACATGCAGCTTTAAAAAAATAAGAAGATACTCTATGTCCTGTTTAAAGACTGTGGTAAATTGTAACTGAAGCAATTTTAGGTTTTCCTCTTCAGCATAAGCTCCTTAGTTTTAGGAGTTTTGAAAGATCTGTGTCCTGGTTTGGGGATAAAGTAGCATCTGACACAAAGATTAAAGCCAAAAAGAAATAAACTGTGATTATGAGATTGCATATATATGTTTCTGCCACTGCATGCTGGAGTGCTAATGCAGTGTTGAATTATGCCTGCCACAGATGAAAATATGCATATATATATTTAATTAGCTTGCATAAGACAACTGGAATAGAAAACAAAAAGTAAGTTGCTGCTATGCCTACATTAGTAGGGGAGAATGGGATTAGTTTTTGCAATTGCCAAAAGAGTACAAGTTCAGGTGTTTTTTTTTTTTGGTGGTGTTTTTTTTTGTTTTTTTTTGTGTGTGTGTGTGTGTGTGGTTTTGATGTTTGTTTTAGCTGTTGGTTGGTTTGGTTTGTTAGATTTTTGGTGGTGTGGGTTTTTTTTTCTTTTTTTTTTTCGCTGTAGTTTTGTAGTTTGCAGATCTAGCATTTGTGATTGCGAAATCCATATCCTAAATGTGTCTGCAAAATCTGTTGTGCAAGCCTTTTGACATCAACATAAATCTTTGACTTTTATGGAACACAGCTACATGATCCACACTGGGATTATGCAATGAGAATCTTCAGCATTGATTTGGTTGCATATTAGTTGCAGAAATTTTACATTAGCTGGAAGAAGAGTCTGCATCTTCTGCCTTGCAGATGATATGTACTTTACAGTGATCATTTCTATCTATTGAATAAAAATTAAAAAATGGTACAGAACTCCGATGTTTTCTCTTAGCTGAGAGCTGGAAGGTTTTGTTCTGGAAAGGTTCCAAAAAACTGGACTAGTTCAAAGGCTAAGGCAACAAAGTTATTCAAGGCTTGTTATAATTCAGTAAACAAGAAACTAGAATTTGGGACTCCTGGGACCAGAGTTCGGTTCTCAGCTCTGCCATCAGCTTGCTGTGTAAATTTGGGAAACTGTTTTTTTTTTTTTAACAGCAGCAACAAAAAATAATTTCTGCTTTGTTTTCCTGTCTTCCTCTGTTAGAGAGAATTACTTAGAGAATAGATGTCAGTGTAGTAGTTAACTGAGTTGAGTTGCTTGAAGATGTAGATAGTAAATCCATTTCAAGGAATAAAGAGCAAGTTTTATGATCTCTAATTCAGATGGTTATGCTTGTTATTGTGTGGAATTTTTGTCTGGAATAATTAAAGGTGTCCCTCAGCTATCACTGAATGCACTGCTATGGAAGTAAGAGCTATAGGGTTTAACTTACATTAACAATTCTTAACAAAATGTTTCCAGTGAAACTTCATCAGTTTTTATTTGGAAGTGTTTTACCTCAGGGATGCAGGAGGAGAAACCCAACTTAACCTCTTGCAGAATGTTCATTTTACATAGAATTGGAATAAAGCATAAAAGAAGAACGCTTAAAAACAGGGAAGAAATGAGTGTCTAAACCCCTTGTAAAACTGTTTTGATATTACCTGTCATCATGTGGTATTTGATGCCATTAACAGTTTCATGAAAACTTGGGGTTTTTCAAGCAGCCTTATGCTATCTCTCCAATGTGTGTTAACATTGGCAGTAGGCCAGTATTTGCTAACAGTTCTAGGATTGCATGAAAAGAGCTGAAATTTTGAGGCGGGAGTGA